GAAAATTTTAAACCACAATCAATACTCTAGCCTTATATCCAAGATTCTCGTCTTTTGAAGTGAGAATGGCCGCCGGAGACGGGAGGGGTGGACGAGCGAAAGGAGCCATTTCAGACTGTTATAGATTTCTCTCACGGGAAGATTCTTTCAATTTTGATTTTTTAGAAGATTCTTTCAATTTTGATCGTCCACTATAAAAAGTTGTAGTGATAAGGCCCACTAAAATTGCTTAAGGTGTTACATGCCTCAATTTCTAGTCCACTAAACACATCTAAGCAATACGAGACCTATATCTCACATTAAGCGAGATAGAAGGTTCACTCGTTGAAGGGTCTACGCTATTTGGGCTGGCCCGTTCGTGTACTGTTAAAGGAAATAGAAAGCGGAAAGGATGCACAATGGAGATTCGAACCCAGGTTTTCATATTGGTTGCAAGCGCTTCACTCCACTAGGCTAGCCTCGACTTAGTAATAGAGTAGTAGGGCGCCACTACTTAACTCGAAATGAGGCGGGTTTCCACAGTTTTTTTCTGGGTTTTTTTTTCACCTGTTTTTCTCTGTTTTCATTTATTTTTTTATTTTCTTTCCTTTTTCGTTGTTTTCCTCTGGTTTTCTTTATTTTATTCTTGGTTCTCACTTGGGTTTTCCTTCTCTCTCTCTCTCTCTCTCTCTCTCTCTCTCTCTCTCTCTCTCTCTCTTTTCCTTGGTTTCTTCCTTTCTTTCTCGTTTCTCATCGTTTTTTTGTTTTCTTTCTTGTTTCTTTGTTATTTTTTCTTATGTTTCTTTTGGTTTTCACTCTATAGTTTTTTGTATATGTAAAAAACAGTTGTCTACTACATGTTTCCAATACAAATTCATCATTTTTTATTACATGGAAACATTTTTTCTATACACATTTTCATGTTTTTTAAAATGCTTGATTAACATTTTTCAAATACAAAATTATTATTTTTGAACACATGGTCAACATTTTTGCTATGCACACTTTTAAACATTTACAAATTCTTGATTAATGCTTTTCAAATACAAGATTAACATTTTTTAACACATGATCAACATTTTTCTATACACATTTAACATTTTTCAAATACTTATTCATCATTTTTCTCAAATGCTTGATTAACATTTTTATATACATGATAAAAAAAGTTCATCATTTTTTACATACATGGTCAACATTTTATCTATACACATATACTCCCTCCGTCCCACAATATAAGATGTTTTTTGACACTACACTAATGTCAAAAACCGTCTTACATTATGGGACGGAGGGATTAACATTTTCAAAATGCTGGATTAACATTTTTTAAATACTTATTCAACATTTTTTAAATGTTGATTAACATTTTTAAATGTTGATTAACATTTTTTATACGTTATCATACAATTCAATTTTTTTAGGACGTGGTCAACATTTTCTATACACATTTAAAATTTTCTAAGTGCTTGATTAACATTTTTCAAACACTTGTTCAACATGTTTTCAAATGCTTGACTAATATTTTAAATACTTACTCAAATTGTTTCATACACATTTTTATGTAAACATTTTTTGTATAATTAA